CACACACACACACACACACACACACACACACACACACACACACACATATATATACATATATTTAAGGGGGAAAATTGACTACTGTTGTAAGAAATGGTATATGAAAAAAAGCTGATATGCTAAAATCATGTGGGTTATATAAATAATCTCAAATAAAATCTGTTTTTAAGACAAAAAAAAAAATAATGATAAATAAATAAAAATAAATGAGTAAATAAATCAATAACAACGCACAAAACACACACACACATATACCCCCCCCTCCTCCTCCTCCAATACATAGAACCCCCCCCCCCCACACTCACACATACACAAACATGCACATACTCAGACACACAGCACACAGAAGTTAACGTCCGAGCTCTCACCCCATACCCCATCCCACTCTTACCCCCACCCCCCACACCCACATAACACCCACACAAACACCCCCACAACACCCCCCCACACCCCCACACACAACACAACCCACACACCTCCATAACACAACACACACACCCTTAACCCAGAGTCCACTTCACTTCACGCCGTCACTTAACCACAACAGAAGCACGGCCACTCCCGTCCTGTTTCCTGGGCAGATGTAGGTGTACTAAAGGCTATACCTACGACGACCACTACCACCACTGTCAGCCAGACCACACGCCAGGCTACGACTACTCCATCAAGGGTGGAGGACGGAGGGGTAATGTCCTTTTGTATGAAGTGGCAGTTTTCACGAGGCGCCCGTGTTGTTTTTAAAGGCTGTGATTTTTTTTTTTTTTTTTTTTTTTTTTTTTACGTACGCTTATTTTCGCTTCGCAATACCGATTTTTCCTTTCTCATATTTTCTTGAAGTTCAACCTGGTCGTGTGATGTATGTCCTTTTTTATTATTAATCCGGCAATGGCAATGCAATGGCAATGCAATGGCTTACTTCATCGGGTAGATGGCGTTCCGCTTATTAACACGAAATATGGCTTATATAATTTAGTTCAACGTTACTTTTGACACTTCAGAGTAACCTGTGGCATGTATTAACTCTTTCTAATGTCATCAGTGTCACCGACTGAACATAACTACAATAAATATAATACTATCCACAAAACACAGTTTTTGCCCCGATCATCAGCCGATAATCTGTAATTGAAATACCAGATACATAATAAAGAACAGTAACTAAGACATGGAAAACACACACACACACACACACACACACACACACACACACACACACACACACATATATATACATATATTTAAGGGGGAAAATTCACTACTGTTGTAAGAAATGGTATATGAAAAAAAGCTGATATGCTAAAATCATGTGGGTTATATAAATAATCTCAAATAAAATCTGTTTTTAAGACAAAAAAATAATATTAATAAATAAATAAAAATAAATGAGTAAATAAATCAATAACAACGCACAAAACACACGCACACATATACCCCCCCCTCCTCCTCCAATACATAGAACCCCCCCCCCCCACACTCACACATACACAAACATGCACATACTCAGACACACAGCACACAGAAGTTAACGTCCGAGCTCTCACCCCATACCCCATGCCACTCTTACCCTCACCCCCCACACCCACATAACACACCCACACACCTACACAACACCCCCCCACAACACCCACATAACACAACACACAACAATACCCCCCCACACACACACCCACAACATACCCACACAACACCGCACCACCCACAACACCCCCCCACACCCCCACACACAACACAACCCACACACCTCCATAACACAACACACACACCCTTAACCCAGAGTCCACTTCACTTCACGCCGTCACTTAACCACAACAGAAGCACGGCCACTCCCGTCCTGTTTCCTGGGCAGATGTAGGTGTACTAAAGGCTATACCTACGACGACCACTACCACCACTGTCAGCCAGACCACACGCCAGGCTACGACTACTCCATCAAGGGTGGAGGACGGAGGGGTAATGTCCTTTTGTATGAAGTGGCAGTTTTCACGAGGCGCCCGTGTTGTTTTTAAAGGCTGTGATTTTTTTTTTTTTTTTTTTTTTTTTTTTTTTTGAGTTGTTTTTTTATTGTTTTTGAAAGTATTGTCTTATTTTTGTTTTATTGATTTAAATCACAGTGAACTATTGTTATTATCATTACTGTCATCATTGTTATTATTATTATTATCATGATTGATATTATCATTAATATTATGATGATTACTATTATCATATTATTATTATTATTATTATTATTATTATTATTATTTTTATTATCATTATCATTATTATTATTATTATTATTATTATTATTATTATTATTATTATTATTATTATCATTATTATTATCATTATTATTATCATTATTATTATTATTATTATTATATCATTATTATCATATTATTATCATTATTATTATTATTATTATTACAGTTATCACTACTATTTTTACCTATGTTATTACTATTATCATTATTGTTCTTATTACTATCATTATTATTTTCTTCGTCATCATTGCTATGGACATTATCTCTGTTGGTGTTTCATAATGATCAAACCTGTTTTTATTGATCTTTTCACTGATTTACATATATTCCCAGTCTATACGTTGCCATACTATACCCCCCCCCCCCAAAAAAAAAAGAAAAAAAAGAAAAAAAAAGAAAGAAAGAAGACAAACGGTCATTTTATCTTTTAATCTTTACTGAAAATTCAAGACTGGAAAATTCGGCTTGCAAACTGTGGACATTAGATCATCAAACCCTGTATCAGTGATTAGATTGTTGACTGTTCTGATAGTAGTTGGTTATTGGTTATTGGAGAGTAGGAAATTGGTCATTAAGAGTACTATCGTAATTGCAATGTAATCAAAATCATACAGTAATTGTAGTCAAATCAGTAGTTGTAGTAAGTGTGAAAAAGGTATTGATTTCAGCTGTCTCGTGCAAAAAATATTAATTAGACTTCATTGTGATTGATATTTCTTCGATATATATATATATATATATATATATATATATATATATATATATATATATATATATATATATATCGACAGTAGCAGCAAAAACTGCTAATTGTGTTATGTTTGTATGTACCTTTTTATTGCTATTACTACTTTCCTCCGTAACAGATGTAGCTCATAAAATGGTCTTTCCCAATACAAGATAACCCTCAGTTAAAAAAAAACAACAACACATTCACTCTAAACTATGTTGACATGACACTGACTTCAAAACCACATATTTGATTTTGTGAATACTTGATGGTGATTGCAAATGCTTGTAACTGTTTGCAAAAGGGCGAAAGTAATGACCAGTAAATATATATGGCTGTTTTATGTTGCATTACAATTTACTGTGAATACATATACACGGTATAAAAATAATAGTAAAATTCCCAGTACACTTTGAATGGAATATTCAGTAACACAGTAGAGACACTAGATGCATGACAATGAGTGCATGACATTTAAAAAAAAGGATACCGACTCTTATGGAAAGAAAGTCTGTATGTAGCGTTAACTGCATGACAGCGAATAATAGTGACTTTAGACGACTGTAGATAGTGAACTAAATACACGACCAGAACACAAGAAAATAAGAAAAAATCATAAAAATAAAAAATAATAAAAAAACAATAAAAAATTACCAAAAGATAAAGGCTAACATAGACAATTTACAAATAATATACTGTACTTTTCTCCAGTCCCATGCAACAAGGTTAATAAGTGCCACAGCAATGCACAGTGTATCTACGATGGGTACAGTGAGCAGTATAGGTGTCAGTGTAACGCTGGCTATGACGGTGACGGCTACTATTGTAACGAACTGGGTGAGTATTTGGGTATCTGGGTATTAGGGTATCCCTGGGTTGGGGGAGGGGAGGGGAGAGGGGAGTATTTGGGTATGTGGGTATCCCTGGGTTGGGGAGGGGAGGGGAGAGGGGAGTATGTGGGTATTAGGGTATCCCTGGGTTGGGGGAGGGGAGGGGAGTATTTGGGTATGTGGGTATCCCTGGGTTGGGGGAGGGGAGGGGAGAGGGGAGTATTTAGGTATTAGGGTATCCCCGGGTTGGAGAAAGGAGAGGGGAGTATTTGGGTATCCCTAGTTTGAGGAAAGGGAGAGGTGGGTATTTGAGTAAGCTTATGGAGGGGAAGGAAAGGGCAGAAGAGTATTTGGATATTTTTCCGTATTTAGGTATTCCTTGGTTGGGGAGGGGAGGGGAGGGGAAGGGGATTGGGGAGAGGAGAGAAAGGGAGGGGTAGGAGGTAGGGGATGAGTAACTGAAGATCCCTGCTTTGGGAAAGGGAAGAGAGAGATGAGTATATGGGTATCTGGTGGGTATTTGGGTATCAGTTGAGAAGAGGGATTTTTTTTTTTTTTTGACCAATAGCTAAGGTAATTTTCTCTCCCTGATTTTGACTAATCTTTCCCTAATTTTCAGGAAATGAATTTTTTTTCTTCTCTTGGAGTGTGACCTAAAAAGACAATTATATTTCCTTTATATTAACTAATTAGATTTTTTTTTTTGCGTTTTTGAAAAGAAAAAAAAAACTCTATTTCCTCTTCCTTTTATACGTCCCTGACAAAGAGAGAATGAATAAAGAAAGGTAATTGGTAAAGGAAGGGAAAAGGAGTGATGTAAGGACAACACGAAAAAAAAAGAGAATAGTCTTGCGAAATGAAAATAAGAAATTCTCCACAGAGTCAATAAAAAAAAAAAAAAATCACTGACAAAATATATATATATATATATATATATATATATATATATATATATATATATATATATATATATATATATATATATATATAATATTTATACATAATATATATATAATATATATATATTTGTTTTCTGTTATGTGAACTTGAAGGAATGAAGGCATTCGCATATAAACAAAGATCGCATGGCATGTATGTTTGCCAATAAGGTTATGACCAAATCATAATCATATATACTGTTAAACGTGCATTCTTGCATCATACGATCTTTCAATGATAAATAAATAAAAAAAACGACAGCTTAAAAATAATATTAATAACAATAAAAAATAACATAATTTTTTTTCTTTTCTTTTTCAACCATTCTGCCACAGATGTATCCTGCGACACGGTGGATATTTGCCACATCCATGCTCAGTGTGTCTATGATGACTACGAGCTCAAACACGTGTGCGTGTGTCTACCGGGTTACCAGGGCGACGGATTGGTATGCACTCCACTAGGTGAGGATCGTGTGTGTGTGTGTGTGTGCGTGTGTGTGTTAGTGTTTGGAGGATATTAGCTATTAGAGAATCGTGTATTGAGGTGCATTTTTTTTGTCTTATTACGAAAATGAAATGTACAGTTAAAAATAATGTATCCCAGATTTTTTTTTTTATAATGTTTTCAAGTGTTTGGTCTGTTCATTTCTCCTTTCCCTTATGTTGATGTTTGCTTTACCTTTAAATGAAAAATCACCATAAAATAAGCCGCATACCTTTTATTCATTACGCAGCATTTTGTTAAGTAACAGCTACATAGCATAGTCAAACATTAACTTTTATTTAGTAAAATAGCCAATCTTAAAACATTATAAATTTACTACTAGTTCTTCGCTGCCAGGCTGACATATATTTCATTGCATGGCATTTTCTGTCACCCTAATGCCTTGCAATGTGAATCGTATTCGTGCATTTCATTGCATATCACCCTATTGCATTACCATTGTATGTCACCCTAACGAACTTCACTGTACAGTACCTTAATGTATTACACCACATCTCATCTTTATCCATTTTCTCTTCTACTAGATCAGTGTAGCAGTGTCCAGGACTGTGATGTCAACGCTCAGTGCCTCTATGACAGTGCCAGTAGACGGTACAAGTGCCAGTGCAATGAGGGGTATGAGGGAGATGGCACTTCTTGTTCTCCCAGAAGAGGTTGGCAACTTGCAAAATTCTCATGTCATTTCTTAACTATTTCGATAAGGCTTTATTTAGTCAAAATAGGGATATGAAGAGATGAGACATATAAATAATTCATGTCTAAGAGAAAGAACGAATAAGTGAAAATTTCATATGCTATTGTTATCAAATACTAAAAAAAAAACATTATGGGTTATTTTTCGTATTCTCAAAATTTGCTCGTGCAATCAACAGAGGCAAGTTGCAATATCATCAATAACTGCGACGTCAATGCTGAGTGTATCTATGACTCGTATGCACTGGCTTACCGGTGCCAATGCCGCTCTGGCTTCGAAGGAGATGGCACCTTCTGTACAGCCACTGAGGTATTTTTTTTTGTTTTTTTTCTTGGTCTGTTACTGTTCTTGTTTATGTTTTACTTATCTGTTTTATTTATCGTTGTTCCGCCTCTCTCTTTCTCTCTGTCTGTCTGTCTCTGTCTCTGTCTCTCTTTCTCTCTCTCTCTCTCTATCTATCTATTTCTTCTCTCTCTCTCTCTGTCTCTGTCTTTCTCTCTCTCTCTCTCTCTCTCTCTCTCTATGTATCTATTTCTTCTCTCTCTCTCTCTCTCTCTCTCTCTCTCTCTCTCTCTCTCTCTCTCTCTCCCTCTTGCTTTCTGTATGTGTTTATATATTTCCTCATCTATCTATCTATCAGTCGATCTCCTGTTCTGCTTTCTTCCTACCCATATATTAGTTTATATATCTATCTACCTATCTGATATCTGTCTTTCTACTTATCTATCTATCTATCAGTCTGTCACTCGGTTACTATCTATCAATCTCTCTATCCGTGTGTCACTCCTCATGTTTCTCTATCTATTAACGAATCAATCAATCCATCAATCTATCAATTAAATCGACCCAGTTACCTACGATTTAATCCATCTATCCATCCATCAAACCCAATCTATCCATCTCCCAAATCCTCCACGAGTGCAATGCAACAACCGCCCATTGCAAACTTCTCTCTTCTTCAGGTGGGTTGCAACGTGGTCTATAATTGCGGCGACAATGCAGAGTGTGCATATGACATCAACGTCTCCGGGTACAGGTGTTCTTGCAGAGAGGTGGGTCTTCATTGTTGCAAATTTCAGTGGCGTGATTGCGTGGCTGTTGCAAGGTCTGTGTGTTATGTGATTCATTTTTATCTGTTATTTTATTTCTTTATCTATATTTTTATTTATTAATTTATTTTATATTTGTATTTATATTTATCTATTCATATTTTATTCACATTTTATTTTTTTTCTATTCATTCATTTATATTTTATTTGTTTATAGAATCTTTAATTATTAATAGATTAATTGATTTATCTATCTATTCATATTTCATTATTTTATTTATATTTTATTAATTTATCAGTTTTCTGTACACGAGCTCTTTGTTGAGTGTTTTTGTTTACATATTGTTGGTGTTTTTTTTTTAAGATTTATGAATATACAGCCGGTCTTTGAGTTGTTTTTTTTAGTGTACAGTTGATGTTATTATCATTATTATTATCATCACCATTATCATATTATTATTATCAGTATTGTTATTATGTTATTAATATTATTATTGTTATTGTTATTATG